AACACAGGCAGTAAGTTTCCTACCAAGATCCATACGCAGCGAGACACAGTGGTTCAAATCTATCGGTTGAATGTTAGCGGTAGTATATAGAACTGACTGATAGACATCAAATGATATACACACACGTTCTTCATGGTTAGTAGCAGACTAAGGAGCACTCGTGGTTTACGGCGTGCTGTAACTATTTCTCTTGAACAAACTGCTCCTGGACTGTCTATCTGACCGGACGCATATGTTTACACAGGTCGGCTGTGGTGATAACCTAATCTCTGAAGGCCAAATTTTACCTTTACATGTTGTAACTATGCCTTATGGTTGTTAGGCGACTACTAGCTACGCGACTGGTAACAGATGAGATAGTTTGTCTGGCGACCGACGAATGGCAGTGCAGCGCTGTCTGCGTAGCCCAGATCAACCGCAATTCCTGCGGGAGGAACTCAAAAGTTTCATTGCACAACTCGGTTGGAAATATCCCGTGACAGAGTGTGCGATAACACAGAACGGAAGCTAGAAATGTTGATAACCCTGGCAAGCGCTACTTGTTGTTTAATAGCCATTCAACAGTTTATCGGATATGCAAGTACAGCCGGAGATGTACCAGCACATCACTGAAATACTCACCCTCTAAATTAAATGTTGCGCCCATGTCCGATGCTGATAAACAACCCGTAATATGATATATTTTGTCTTCCCCTACATTCTTCGGGTGTGCTAACGGCAGCGGCGATTCGAAGGCCAGACAATGTGGTATTCCCGCAGGGGAAGTTGCTACTAATCTACCAACCTCATAATACTATGACCGCGTTAACGAACTCATCCATTGCAACCGATGGGAATACCAACATACAGTTGATAATAATCGAAATATAAAAGTCTAGGTAGCCCGATCTTACACCAGTACAATCTGTCACATTAAGGGACCTGAAGCTAATTTTGACAGTATTGTGAGGTAACAAATTCTGAAGCGTTGCTACAAAAAGTGGGGTAAACCTTTTCGCATTCATCCTACCATATTTCGAGAACAAACTGTCTATACGGTCATGGATAAAAAGTACACATGGGCTGAGAACCACTACGGACTGTGAAAAACTATCTGAGGCTGAGCTAAATAAACAGCGATGGTCCCGACTCAACTCTTACACTGAGAGTTTAAGGCCTGACGATGAGGAATAAGTCTGATTTCACCTACGACATAAGCTAGTGTATGCGCCAGAAGCATGGATTAGTTAAATAATCGGTTTGCCTACCTGAATTTGTAACTAGGTGAGTTAGTGTTTTCATGAAGGGCTGTTGTTCCTCGCGAGAACAGTGATGAGTCTTCACAACAAATACTATGAAAAATAGTCAATTCCACTGTTGACCCTTAACTTGCTGACATACCAGAAAGGAGTAGTTATGTACAGTGAGACGTCAACAATGGGTATAGTAAGCTGGTAGATAAATCAAAGTTTATTTTTTACCCACTGATGAGGGAATGGCTCAAAAGCCGATATTCTTTCACTGACACAGGGTCTTGTCCTTTACTCCCCATAATAATTATAATAATGTATATTTCTTGCGACCGAGAAACGGTGCCCCAAAAGGGACGGATCGTATTTACATATGCAACGTGCTCACACATGCATTTTACAGGCGTAGCTTGCTTATAGTTATAGCACTGCAGTGTACTGTGTTTTCAAGTGCTGCAATACGCGCAACCACAGCCATGGTAACTGGAGGCAACAGTGGAAGTGTGAAAGGGCACCAATGTAGAGACGGAGGAAGGAAAGCGTAGCGTTACTCGAAAAACAGACAAGTAGAAGCTACGCGAATGGAATAGGCGAATGCCGCTGGCTTCATGATTGTGTCATTTTGGAAAAGCACCAGACACTGGTATCCCATCGTCTAAGATACATCGTACCAGCCAAACACCTTTTCCGGATAATTTATTCATAGTCTTGCCACGTGATCACTTCATCAACTTGGGATTTTTATGTAATTAAACATATCATGATCTGTAGGCAAAACTACGGCACCCGCAGCGCTTTGAATTAGACTCAGGAATGCGCATATGTACAAACGTATTTTGCGCCAGATGAAAAAAGCAGTCAATGCCAAAGGCTCATGCACTGTACGAAGAAGGTGACCAGCAGTAGTAAACCTGTGCATCAGAGTCTCTGGGTAAAAGCCTGGAACTGGTTGAAAATTCTTACGTTTAGAAGATTTAGAACACAGCCCATGTATGTATGTGCTTGTGATGTAGCTACGTTTCACACTTGACACAAAAGTTAACCCGAAGAAGCTTCTGCTTACAGGGCGAAAGGAGGACAAGATACATGCATTTATAAAATCGATCTGTGTTCTTTGTCTGCCCAAATGATTTGCATATCTCCTTTTCGTTTGCATACCATCGAAGTAACAATTCTTATGTTATGTGTAGAAGTGTGCGTTTGCAGTTGTTTGCGAGTTATGCAGTGCATTCAGAACAACTTGTGAGAGGGAAACGATATGCTGGACGGAAAGGCATCAGAAAGATAAAAAGGTCGTAAACGTAGTACACATACTCCATGCTTCGGTAGGAGCTTCCGCCACTCTCTTACCTCGCTAGCGACTTTAACTTCGAAAAGATGAAACCATTTTTATACTAGACGATTACAATCAAATACCTCAGGTATAATCAACGTACGACATATGCTAGTAACGTGAATTTCCGGCTTTCCAAGCCCCGCCGATTTATCTGTCAATTTTATATCCAACAATCTTTTGCCTGAAGAGCATGCCGTGGCAAATATCGTTCCCCAGCAACAATTGCTTTATTGATCATAAAACACTTTTCAAGAAACCTTTAACGCTCATCATCATCATTATACACGTTAGCTAGAGGTGGGAAACACCTCACCTACTGTGTCGCAATACATAGACTAAAAGGAAACTAACCACAACAGCTGCATCTCAGCTGAGCTACCAGCAAGGGATAGGCATCGTTCCGGCAAGCTATCTGCCGGCTACTAGGCAAAAAGAAAAATTATTATGTAAAATTATATTACGCTGCGAAATGTGATCGTGGTTAGACGGGGAGGCTAAAAGGGATGGGGTGGGACAAAGTGACTCACAACACGTACGCCACTGAGGTCGGCTCCTTGCCATGTCAGCAAGTGTATCTAGTGAAACCCTGACGGTATATATAGAACTTTAACCCTGAGTATACAGCAACATCGGTCTCACTTTTAACACCAAACTGTCTCATTTGCATTGATCTACTTACATGACTTCTCTAAATATCACAGTATGCGATCAAACGGTTAGGGTTCAAAGAAGTCATTGAAGCTAAGCTTGGGAGCACTAGAGAACCTGAACAGGTGTGTCTGAGACCACAGCGCTGAACATTTCCGTATGTAACAATATAATTATCCGACCGATTAGAAGCCTCTATCTATTTATCACCTGTTGGTCAGTGGCAGAGTGGTCTGCATGCCTGGCTTGCAACCATAAGGTCACCGTTTCGAATCTGCGTAGTGAAAGGCATCCTCCCAGTATACTCAGGCCACGCGCGACTAGTGGTGATCGCGCGGCAGCGAAGCACCGTTGCGGCGTACAGCTGAAGATTTAATATTATTATTTTTATTATTATTAATATTTTTATTATTTTTATATATCACCCGTTCTTCTTGCTCGCGGTGCATTTGTATCGTTGTTAATACATACAAGGCAACAATAAATTGCCAATGGTTGTGACAAGCGTGACTCACGGGACTTGAAAGTAAAATAGTGAACGTGTCTACCGGTAACTTTAATTTCCCGCGTTTGATTCACAAGTTTAGTTATTTCAGCTTGACTTTTTCAAATAATTAAGTGATCGATCATTAAGTGCAGTGTTATAGCGTGAGACCTTATGCTTTGTCTATAAGCACAGTTTACTGAAGGCTGGTTCCACTGCTTTGGCATCATGATTTATGTACTATACACATAGTAATCTTTTAAGCATTGCCGTATTTCGGAAGCGTTACTTCTACTTCTCCCTATAACTAAGATGTACACGAAAACACATGGTGTGCACTGAGGTTCTGGTAATAACAACTAATGAGGTTGTTTCACGGTCTCTCATTTACTTACCAATGGATCATAGTTCTGGGGAATCGACAACAGCACTGGCTAATGGTGATGGGTGTAAGCTTGGAAATGTTTAATCATCCAGGTATAGTAGATGAGTACGGTTTGAACCATCCTACCAGCAGATTGATCCCGCGTTTGACAAAATACTCAACCGGATGGTATCAATGTTTTTCACCCGAAGAAATGTTATCTGTTTCGAGTCATTAGACATTAGTTCATGTTGAGGGAAGGTTGAATTGAGAAGAGAAGTTGTAACGGCGAAACTCCAGCTCTTCCACGACCAACTTCGCTCCTTCAGAGGATGGTGGAATCTTGACAGCGCAGTACTGATTCCTGAGAGTTGTCAACTCGGAACTAGGACAACGGCTAATGTTTCAGACTGATTTTCAGTTCCATATTCATATACACCTCTGATCAAGGTAATATGTCTATTCGGGTTAAGGCACGACATAATGTGTGGAGCGACTCCGGTAACAGCTGGCAAAATTAAGAACAAGTTGTTACATGAGAGTTGAAGTTGCACTGCCGTAACATGCTGTAACGTTGGTGGTTAATAACAATATCCGGTGCTTTTTACACACCAAACTGGTTGCTGCTTATTTGAATACTGTGAATAGGACTCAGTGTTTTGTTATTAGAAATAGAAAGCTGAGGACTGCAGGCTCTGTATTCATTTTACTGAGATACCGAAATTCTTGTACTAGCCGCGTTTGCGGATAGGCAATCGCCAGCTTTTGTCCGAACTATGCGACATGATTTTCAAGCCAAAGACCATCATTGACAAAATCCATACATACTAAAACTGGGATAGCCATGCTGACAGTACACGTTATTATTCGCACTTAAATCATATAGATTATTTTGATGTGATAGAAGGTTCCTTCATTATCTCGTCTTTCCGTTTGCAGGAACGTTTCTCTCGCACCGCAAAAATAAAATACACGGACCAGAATACCGGAATAACGGAAGGTATCGGCGGAGGTTAGTTTCCAGCGTTATCTTGTCAATACATGGATCTCACTAAGGAAATAACACCACCTCGATTTGACTTTGATGGTACCGATAGCATCACAGCGAAACTTAGCTTTTTTGTCAATGACCTCGGCATCGCATGTTTTTACTACTGGTGGCGTAACCCACCTAGTTCAGTAAAGGTTAGGCGCAATTCCGTGTTTCTGTACATGATAGTCACTATGACAGAGAAGCACGACGTGTGAAAGGACATAAAATAGAACCTGTTAACTTAATGTTAGCTGAAAATCTTTCCATCCTTGATCTCCATTAGTATTTGCCTGTCATATGACTCCTTCGCAGCTACAGAAGTGTTTGTGAAATAATGTAAGTTGGTCAATCTATCTTAGAACTCCTTTTGGCTAAAGTTTGTGCCCAGAACTTAGTAGGTTACAATTTCTTACTTGTTACAGTTAGCTGGTTGTACTGACTACCGTAACCTCTTCATATGTAACCATCATTTCACCTGGAAATATCAAGCTTACTGCGTTTTCCAATCAACCAGTTAGTTGATGTACTTGAACTCACTGGAATTTACAAGGTACAGTATTAGTACTGTCCTCAAGCGTGTGTAACTGACACTCAGGCAAGCTTTTCTGTCTGGATTGTATTCTGAACTGCGAATCATTTTGGCAAATACTGTCTGCTTTCACTAAACGACCTATATCCTCAGTTAATAACAGAGCTCAAAATAGCATGAGACGAGCGACTTGCTCTCCCGGCGACGGTTAGAGGCCGTGAAACACGAGCAGCTGGTTCCATTTAAACTATCGGAGCTATCAGTACGACAACGATCGTAATCCATGCCTAAATTGAAAGCGCTTTGTCCAATTGCATTAGTTTCCAGCGAATACCAAAGTGTGCTGCAGCTAGCCACAGGACAGTCGAAAGGATTTTCTACAGTCGGATGTTGATGGTTTGTGCTTGAGAACTAAGCTAAGTCGATTATACTTGTTATTTCTACAACACAGGACAACAAGAACAGAGTAGATACTCCTTGACGAAGCATAGCTTGCAGTCTACTGGTCACACTAAAGGGTTTATGGACAACATACGAGCATTTGCAAGCTAGAACTTGCGCTTTTATACGTCACAGACTGAGCATTGGGGATGGCACATTTTGTCGTTTTCCAGCATCTTTTTAAATCCGACTGTAAAACTAACCACATTACTCGCGATGCTAGTTATCCTCGGCTTTGATATTCAAAAAGGAAAAGAGTAATGGACTACCTAATCCTTTTAACTAGATAGATTTGCCTCGATGCAATGTTGCTCCATTTTTGCACATGACCAATATTTCGTTCGAGGTCATCACACGTTTTACCAACGGAGGAAGCTGATACGATCGTTTGGCTGAGATAGATGTCAATACACTGCACATATTAGCGAATACGGGACACCCACATGTTCCCCCACTTATAATATCTGCGTTTCTGCTATCCCATGCTTACCAGATTTCGACGCCAGCCCTGATCGTGGAAATATACAAACGTTCAGTCGCAATGGTGGTACAAGGTGCAGAAGCCCGGCGCCGGGAGGAAATAACACGATGTGGAATGGCAGCAGGCAGCCAAGTTTAGATACCCCACACGGCGACTCCGATTTTGATTCACTTCCCCACAGAAACTTTGCCAAGGCAACCAACAGAAATTCTGCGGAAACCTACCTGAAAATGAGTGAAAATGAACGAAAATATACATGTGAATGTTCAACACTTTTTAGGTCTCTCACGGATTCGGATGTTGTGTACCACAAGCAGGAAAAAGTAAGTAGGCTCTTGTTTGCATATTGTTTTAATAGTGAACCCAGAAGTGATGAAGTATTAATAACCAAGAGTATAGAATAAAGTCCGCTTGGTGCGAGGGGATAAACTTTAAAGGAGATCACTGAGCTTTAAGCTACTTGAACCATGGACCGTGCTGCGTGCAACGCTGATGGTATACTGCATCTCAACGAGTCGGTTGCCACAGCGTAAGCGTGACGCATTGCTGCTTCTCACCGATTGGACACCTCCGTTCGAAGGGTTGGCAAGGTCACAACACAACCCATCAATGGTAAAACGTATTGAAATTGTTTCTTGTGGTTCAGCTCTTGTTTGCTTTTCTCCCATGTTCTCTCGATACTCATGTTCCATCACCTCCACCACGTAAATAACGAAAAGTCGCCTCTTGTTGTCCACGGGCATTTTCCTTAGATCATTTGCAGAGCGACACTCACAGTTGAAAAAGGGGATGCGCGATGTATTGTGGGTAAAATAAAAATATTTACCAAGTCCCTTAGGTGGAGAGAAAAACCAAGTATAAACGTGCAGAAAATATACCGCCCATTAGTAAACTTACCGTAAGTTTCACACTTGCATGCCGTTTGTCCATCTTATGCTGTGACTCAATGGACATTCGTTTGATCATGCTACATAGCTGGAGTAATAGTCAAATCACACTCCGGATTTGGTTATCACAGAGACTGAAATGACGGATGTTGGATGAACGTCATATGATTGAAAAACCCGAAGAGTGAAAACTTTCCGACAGTATTATCACCAATTCCATTGTGTGGCGGGTTTTAACTAACGGCTTCTCACTTTAATCTTGTGTATGAATTAAACTAGATGGCACTCTACGTGGTCAGGATGCTTGAGGATCACGCCACAAACGTCTACGTTTTCCACTGTCCGACTTTCTCCATCCGACGCCTGTACACCCATTCCCGCAGACTCTTTACGCATGAGCTGCGGCGATCTTCCATGCAGCGTGAGCTAGGTGTACCAGGTCAAGAAAACACGTTGTACAGCCATTCCATAATGGCATCCAAGGCTGGCACTCAGTTTGTCAGAATGCTTAGAAGAGCGTACGGACACAAATTTTCGATTAGATGTTCAGCGCGTATGTTCCTCCTCATGTTGAATACACACTTAAATTCTGGCAACTGTGTGTAAACCTCCATCTCATTAAACTAGATCGACCTCAACGTCTGCTTCTCAACTAAGCACGTGAATGTGTAACTAATGTTACCAGCAGAGCATGAAACGCTTGGAAATATTCAGCCAACTGTATGGTTTAATACCAACTAACAAAACACTGACTTGACAGATAAGGCTTTTGTGTCAAATGCGAAAGGTTGCCCAACAAACATGTTAAACGATCCTTCCCAAGCCTCTTTGCACCCATTGTTTATCGTTTGCATCCAGGTATATACTACTCGCAATGTAGTTTGAGCCGCCGAACATATGGATCAATCGATCCAATTTCTGATCTCGGACATTTGTCAAGGCAGCACAGCAATCATGTACCGCATTCAATACATTACTTGAATGCACCGCTACAGCCGTACACACCACATTTACAATCAGTTTGAATACGTATGCTCAGTGCAAGTGAACTTGACAGACGAGAAAACTGTGGGAGTACGTAGGAAAACGTTGCAATACACAAGGATCACAAACTAAAAATAACCACGACTTGACCAGCAACAACGAAAATAGCGCAACGAACTAACGGCGATTGGAATAAATCGGACCAGTGGCTGCCATCATGTGTGTGCTAGATCATGCCTTGTATCATTACTAACATTACAAAAACTACTAGGTTCCACAGCGAATTCTCTCAATTGCAGTGGTTTATATCATGAAGAACCGTTGGTTTGTAGTTATGACTTCACCAGAGGTGTCGCATCATAGTATTTCTGACTGATATCACACGAAAACGTCATTAACACATTTTCATGCGTAACGTGCATAAGGTGTTTGAATGATATGCTTGATTTCGGAAGTGTTTTATGACACACCCTATAAATTTGGCTAATTTTCTCTTGTACCTCCTTATAATTCTAGATTGAGGAGGTCCCCGGAGCAATGCATTATATCACTTTGGATGGCCAATTGGATTACTCCGTGGTACTTCGAGCCTTATTTTGGCGTTGCACAACATATATGTCGGATAGAGTATGCAAGCAGGTGCTTGGTTGTTTATGCGTTCTGTTTGACCTAGGAATAATTATAAACCACCGGAACACTCGACCTTCGACACGGATCCAACGAAAGAAGAGTTTCAAATTTCATGATAAAAGAAAAACTTACGATTTCCCAAGAGAAAAAATCAAGGTGCATCCAGCCGCCAATTTTTATTCCAGTACCGGAAAAGAGCCAATTCAACCGAACCAATTTTCTCGCCAGACTACAACTACATCCGGTCGAAAAGATGGAAGAACAACTGGAATGCCATCGGTTCATCGGAAGTCTTTAACAGCTTTTGTCGAGTCTGGAGACGATGAACCAAAACAATCCTTAGGGCAGGTTGACCGGTGTAAAGTGTACTCGAGTAAGGAGACAGAATCAGTGGGCAGATTATGCCCACAAGACCAATTCAGGCTGGATGACTCAAAGGTGCTAGAAGATGCTGCCACTACAAATACGCGTGAACGAACAGCTGGCGATGTTTGTCGATTCCCAAGACGCCAGACATCTCGCAGTCGATGGTCTCATTATGTCCAGTCTCCCTATCAGCTGCAGCAACCGGCGCTGAGCAAGCAGATGTTGAGATCCAATTATGTGCTAGCCGTGGAAACAGTGTTAAGGTACACCAATACCGAATTACTCGTATGTTACATGATGATGGGTCTTGACTGCTGTTTCTATTAATTAGCATTGATCATAGTGATGTTGGGTAGAACTACTTGGTCGCCTCTGTCGTACAGGTGCATTTGTAGTATTCTAACCCTTCTGACTACGCCAGTCAACAGGGACATCGTCGAATGGTGCTTCATTTCATGTACCAGATGAAGCCGGTTTGCATGTGTAACAATTGAAGTATAGTTGCTGAATCGACAAACGCCTTAGTTACAGGATATTACCATTGACTGCTTATACTACAGAGTTTCTTATCTTTGCCTGTTTCTCTCACGTTCTGATCAACCCTAGAAAAGGCAATACTACAGTGACGGGAATCAAATATACGTAGTAATATTGTTATGTAACATCCACATAAACTTGAAGTGTGCCGATTTAACGAGAAGCGAATACCAAATAAGGAAATCCTTTTTCTTATTTGGTATACGGCTATTTGTGTTATACACGAAAAACGCAGTATCCATATTAAGACTGATTTGCTTTTCTTTAAACTTCTCTCTAGGTTACCTTCCTGTAATCGCATATGTAATGGCCTTATTCATCTATGATTCCAATCTTCAGGTAGGGATAGGGGAGACTGAAGTCTTAATCAGGACCTTCTAGATGACTGTTTTATTAGAATGTAAATTTAAGCATGAACTGGGGTCTCTTGCCATAATGAATAAGGGTGTGCTGTTCAGAGCAGTGAAATTCGGCACTTAGTTGACGAAGTTTGTTATATACTTACTTTAATGGACAAATTGAGAGTGACCAAGGTGCGTTGTCAAACTTCCCACATTTTAAAGCGCCCAAAACAAAATTTAACATAATGCTCATTCGTCGTTTTCCGGCACCTTGTGAACTGGTACTAAAGGACTTCAAATCGCTGCTGTAACGTTGAAGTACACAAACTTCTACCCATTCTATGTTCAAAAACTGCTTTACCGTGGTACTAGCTGTGATTAGCTTGTGCAAGCAAGCTGCTAGATTGCCGCAACCGAACAGAGCAGTTGATGGGACGCCTGTGCATATTTCGCTTACGCGCAGATTGGTTTACTGGAGCGGATTTGTTTAACTGTTTCAAAGGAAGAATCTCATGGGCGCAGAAGCGTGGTTAACTATGGAAATGACTTAGTCATTTATATCGAGGTTCCTACATGCTTGTCAGGTTGTTATTTTCCATGAGATTGCTTTCTCGAATAAACCGTTTGTCCCTGAAGGACCGAGTTCTGCGACACTAGCCAAAGTCCAAATATACCCCCCATATATGTTTGATAACCAACCTGACTTTACAGTGTTATCTAGCAGTTAGACACATTTTGTGGTTCAAATGCTCAGAAAATATGTGCATGGCTTCATTGTGTACATTGCATTGCAGTTGCTATGATCAGGTGGTACCATCATGTCCGTTCAGTTTGCCGGAGGGCTATTCTTATTGAGGGATTGTGGGTCGGTTCCGCAACGCTCCTGGTTGACATCTGAATCATTTTTATATTACTCTGAGTTTACACTGGACAAATGGAGTATGGATAGAACTGGTAATAGTGTAGTCCGAATATTTCATGAGTTGTCATCAGATGCACTGTCCGTCCATTAGTCTGTTGCGCACCGTTGGGCGACCCGAGAAACGGACGCAGCCGATCACATCTGATACACGAATGCACCAGTTGAAGAAGTTCAGTACAAGCACTGGTTACTCAGTTCCGCGCCTCATCCGACATTAACATGCGCGGACGGCTTGATGGATTAGTACGATGTCAGGGAGATGGTTAAATTAGTAAGCAACATTGCGTGGCACCAAATCATGACACAATTCAAACGATCAAGTAGCAAGTGGGATGGACATGGGCAGTGCACATCAAGTTGTAGGTAAAATTTTAACTTAAGTACGTCAGGGTCCTCACTCCGTTTAATGTCTATGGTTTCGCTTCAGAAGTCCTTGGTGGCAACTGTATGAAATCGAGAAACTAATTTTCTAACCGTCTTTTTTAGCAGTGTTTGTTTTTGTCCAAGTGCACGTTGACGGATAGACGGAAAGTTTATAGAAAACTTCTAAACGTCCACAAGGCGATCCACCCCGCGGTTTTAAGTGGGAAAAACAGCCTGTTAATTAACCCTATCATGAGTGCGTGGGATGGCTACGCGAGACTGCTAGTCCGTGTACGGCACTTCTCACTTTCTTCTCAGATACAGATATACAGATATAGCACCGCAGGTGTAGCGTCCTGTTTGAAGCCAGTACCACCACAGTTCCTCCTACTCTGGACAAGGCTATAATTTGGGGATTTATACGCTCTCTGTTATCAAATGAAAGATTCTGCTCGCATAAGATTGAGTGTCGCCATTTGGGCGCAGTTTGCGCAACATATGCCAAATTTCATGCTGTACCAAAGAGCTTAACTTAATTCTAGCAATGCTAAACCACAATTGCCATGTTTTAGTGCCCAACCCTATGCAATGACCTAAGGCGTTCAGTTGGAAAATCGCTTGTGGTTATCGCTGTTGTAACACTTTCCACCGATACTCACTAGCATGCACAAAACTTGAATCAGGCAGTTGCACTGCTCAATACTGGCCGAGAAACACTTACTACACTGTGAACAACAACAGTATACAAATTCGTTGCATTCGTCCCGATTCATGGCCACTGCCGATTGATATTGGCCCACGAATGCTGACACTAACTGTCCCTTGCACAAGAAACACGATTCCTTGTTGGCGTACTGATGGCCCGCCACGTCTTCCAGCTCGGACTCGACCTCCAGTTAACTTGCTTCACGTTTCTTATTATCGTCCTTGTTAACAGTAGGTGTATTTTAAGCATTTAAATCCCTGTATATTGTGTAAAAAGCTACCGTCTCTGATCAATGAGTGGTCTACTGCCTATAGACAACGGCATGTTCGACAGCGACACCAACTTGAATGACTGCTACGTTCGAACGTATTACCAACCTTCCGGTGCTTCAACAGTTAGGTTTGCTCTTTCATCAACCTAAGTCCTTCCCCCATCCGTATAAATTGTCTCTACTTACTGTATTTTTGGCAGCTTTCGGAGCCGAAACAATTCATTATTAACCTTCATTGAACCCTGATTATCACCTACTAAATCAAAGTCACTTGGCAAAGTCCGTCGTAGTATGCCACTGCAGCTAGTACTTGTGCAGAAAACTTGTATCCTGAGGAAGGTTTCCAGTAAGATTCAACTGAAATGAATAGTGATATGCGGGTATGCAGTATCCACAGCACGAAAGCTTGCTGTTTTGACTCTCCCTGGTGTCTCCTCTTCTCCATCTCAGAGTCATCCGTTCCCTGGGATGCCCATATGGCCATCATTGCTCACCAAGTTTCGGATTTCGTGAGACTCCAGGTAATGGTGAAAGAGACCTGCCAACGCAAGAGAAAGACGAGGTTCGCCGACTCGCCTACGACTGTGTGCATCACTTATACAAAACAGACGGAAATTGGTTTGTTCACGTCATCAGCCGCATGGTGGCGACGATGTGCGTACCCGATCTGGTTGAACTGTACCATGCTTTAACTGGATTCTGCTCAGATCCAGCTGCGCGAGCTACAGGTGAGATGGTTCCTTTTTGAGTCTGAAAGGTAGCACTAAATTAGGCACTTTCAGTGGCTTGTTTAAAACAACCTTTTTCCCTAACGGACTTACTCAGCGTTAAACATGACACCAACTGGCATCCTGTATAGCTTTTAATGCCCGATTAGTTATTCATTTTAGGAGCTTCTGTAGGTTTAACTAGAGTTATGCTCCACGTAGGTTTAAACTAATCAGTCTTAAGCATAAATGGACATTCCTGCTTCTTATAAATGGATCACTCTTGCAATGGTACTATGAGTATATCCTTCCAACGTTTAGTAGCAGTCTGTTGGATCCAAATGGCGGCTTCGGGTATGCTAGAAACTTACCCACACTCAAACAACAAAATCAAACGTACCACGTCACACGGGTATTAAAGTCGAGCACACAGCTACACTCTATCTCTACTATTTCGATAAACGGCGCCCCGTAGGTATTACGGTAGTCATAGTTTAGGTGAGTGAATTGGAACCGCACCACACTTGATTTCAGCTCGTTTTTGCCGCTTTCATGCACTCTGGAAACAGCATGTCTACAAAGTAGTATGGGCCAATCGAAATGGGATGCAAACACCCTATATTTTTTCATTGTAAGTGCGCGCTTTACTCGTGAAATCAATTTTGACACCAAATAGGTACGTTCTCACAATTAGTTTCGTGATGGACTCAGCAAAATAAAACACTGCCAGGATGATGACAGCCGCAAGTCTGGCCATGCAATTCGTCTCTGTCACAATTCGGGGCTTGTTCCACTGAGAAAATCGCAAATGCAAAGCCTATTTTGCAAACAAATCCAGCACAGAAATGTAAAATCTGTTATAGTTGTACTGATTTTGACTACCTTTAAATTAAAACAACATATATCCTCGCGGTATCCACAACTACCATGTGCATTTGTTGGCATCCATAACTGAGCGGGGCATTTCGGATCGAAGGTATTTAAGGAATTATGAGGAATTCCTTTGGTCTCATTACGTTTTCATCCTATCCTCTAGACTCAATTCCCTGCGAAAAGCAAACGGTTGCCTAGGAAGCGTGCGTTCTAATAATTCGTAAATATTATCATTGGTTGATGGTCGGGTAACATCGGCGTGAATGAAACTTGCACACATTTGAACCTTAGGTTATACCTGAAGCACAGGTTGGAAGGTCAGCTAATGAGTAGAATGATAGGCCCTTGATATTTGAGTAACAAGTATGTGATGTTTTAAATCTTATTCCTACCACTGTGCTGAGGTTAGATCATCCACTCACAGCTTGTACTCGTTGCTATACACAAGTAAGTTACAAAATGTGTTTGATTCTATTTACTTTGTTCCGTGTCGTCTTCCTATTTTCACTAGCGACTTTTGCGGACTGTCGGTGCAGGGTAAGCCAGTTAGGTTCATCCTATATGTGAGATGGTTCTGCGGATATTCGCAAATACAATAGAAGCCGCAAAAATCATTCTCGCCAATGCCACCTTGTCCTAACAGGACTCCCAACAGCTTGCTGACTTACGGCGCTAAAGTGCCCTAAGTTCCTCCACGTCGTGCGCTTGTTTAATCTATTTAGGTTCAATACCAATTCCCTCTTTCTTGCTTTTTCTTATTATTAAGATCCTTGTGATAAGTTCTAGTTTGTATAGGTTAAGAAAGCACCAGCGCACGTAATTTATCTAATACTCTTACTGAGCAAAATGATAAGAATGTACAACACCGAACACCGTCTTTTTTCAGCATTTAGTGAGTACATCAGGCTCATTAGCTGAAATTTGATGTTTGGTATAACGAACCTATTTTATGTGTTTTATCTAAGCTGGTTCGTGATAATCTGCATAATCACTGTCATTGAGAATGCTTGAGAAATCGCGAATGACCTCTTTAATACCATGCTTCTCACCTCTGAGTGATTGAATGTAACTGACTTAATTGCTCTAGTTGGGGACCCAGTGCGAATGCGCCTCAAACATGCTTACCCTAAACACCGTCTTTAGATCTAGTAGGCACACTTTCAATATTCAATAGAACAAACCGTTTTATAAATGTTATGGGACAGTGTATGGGGTAAGTTTTCGCGCGCCCCAACGTGTGCAATTCAACCCGTTAATTTGACAAACCTATCAAACATACCACCCAGTGAAATACATGATAAAGTGTTACATCCTTTGGAAAGGATTCCCATTCAAATGTACCTAGAATTCTGAAATAACAGTTGATGCCAGGCAAGTAGTTGTAATGTGAAAACAACTTTTCGGAAATGGCCAGAAGTTCTGTTTCTTCCAGTGAAACTTCTAAGTCTTCATAGACGCAATTGTTTGCACAATACTAATATATGATAGGATTTAGCAGTATGCCGGTAGGCCGTACTGATGCTTCGCTGCGACGCAACCATCACCATTCGAGCTTGCGCCAAGGTTACTGTGAGCGTCACCCGGTACACTACGCAGGCTCGAGCCAGCGACCTCCGGGTTGCAAAGCACACGCATTATCCTTTCCGCCACGAGTCCGCAACTGCTTGCACAGTGTTTTCCGTGAAAACGTAGGTGCAGCTTTCTTCGCCTTCTTAGAGACGAGGACTGATTTGTTAAGACGATGCATTCCGTCAACGTTCACTTGTACTTCGACTGATGTTTGAAAGCCTGGTAATTTCCTCAGTAGAGGTTAAAAGAACTTATTCTTTTACGTGGTCGAGATAGTAAATAAGTAAATGAACCCCTATAATTACCTACGATCCCTGAGCGTTAGAAGTCATTTTATACGCAGTAGTAGTGTCGTGGTTTACGCGGATTACAACATAAGAATAAAAATGCAAGATGAACAATAGAATTTCGTATTATGAATTTTCCCTCGGATCGTCGACTTGATCACTTAAAATGCGGAGACCACTTCTCTCCAACTGGTCAACAAGAAGCCAAATGTAATCATTCACTTCACTCATGAATTTATCAATCATGTACAGTCCGACTTGCTATGCCGACTCCCTGTCTATGGCGGCCAGCCAAAATCATCCCAACGTTTTCTTCTATGAGTAATGTCCCTATAAATGAACCTGTCCATGGCGACCGCCTGTCCTAGGCGACAAATTTTGTCGGTTCCTTGGATGGTCGCCATAGGTAAGTTCGACTGTATTACCCTGAGCATTACCTTTCCGGTATTCCCGGTTTTCCGTAAACACCCGAGCGTGATGGATACTGTTTCATACTCAATATAACATAGTGGGGTTGATAAGATATCAAACTGGTGTTTTAACTCTTTTTGGCCCTCAGGCGTAAAAAGGCTCAAAAAATGCAGACGTAATCTAAGCACCGTGGCAATAACACTCATTTTGATAAATAAGGTGATTTGCGCCAATAAACCCGGCATCTTTTCCTCTTATTTATTTATGCTTGCGTTCACAAAGGCGGGCATGTGATCTTCTCGCACTATTGCTTTTAAGGTCGATGTGCTTCTGTTTAGCTGGTATTGGATGTGGCTTTTTGCATCTATGCCGTTTGAGTTTGGCTTGGCGTTTAACAATGCAACTTAACCTGTTGTTGGTCGCATGCGGGACAACTTGAATGGTAGACAATAGCTCCTACTTGCGGAACTGCAGTCCTTAGAGTGAGTCGCACTACGCGGGACTGACAGGGATAGGTACGAGTAACAAAACTCACTCCTGTGTCGGACACTATTTGAACCACAGTACTCACTCTGTTCTATCTTAATCCAGGTTATCTACCGACTGACGCCAACTACGCCAACAGCTTCAATCAGGCAGCTATTGTAAGTGGCACACTTGAGGTAGAAAGCATCATAATTGCCTGCTCCCTCGGTCCGTTCATCCGACGTTTGGTCCGGTGTCGAGTGGAAATTGTCAGTCAAGAAAATCTATCACTGTTTGGGGATATACGGCAACTGTTCAGTTATCTCCGTGAGGTTCATGGAAGCACATTCCGACTGAACATACTTGTCGCACTCATTTGCCCCATTCACCGAGTCTGGGAACGTCTGAGGCCAAAGAGCGCTGCAGGATGTTCTCGAATGTGAGCACATGAGTGAATGGCTACTGTTTTTCTTACACCTACCAGCATATAAAGGTGCTGTACTATTAGTTTCGGCATTATTTCTCAAGGCATCAACCAGCACAAATTATGCTCAGACTAGTGAAAGATTTTTTATCTACTATGCTTTGTGCTGTCTCTCAATGGCTCGCCGGCCACTGAACGCTTGCCAGCTATCTTCAGGGGTCCTGGTTACAATTGAACTAAAAATTAGCTGAAACTGGTTCCAGTATTTGGGTAAACTGGACCAACGGTTGTATGTTTCGTTTTGGAGTATCCACCATGTACATTTGATTACGAAACGCGATCTCATTTGTGGCCTCGGTTGACTTTGAAGTCAGTCTGTGCAATTCCGATCACTGGGACGATATTCGAAGTGGATGGTATCGCTTTTGCTCTCATCCATCCCTGCGCTACAAGACCGGTTTCGTCCTGCTTTGAACTACCTTTGTATTCATTGGTTATTCAACTTTGCCATATGATTCCTCCGGAAGCTTAATCCTGCTCAAGGCAGTTTTCGCTTATGCAGAAGGCCTGTGCACTCAGTCGTTTCCGGAAGTCTGTCACGTTGAAAGTCATTAGGTACACACATCGCACGTGGTTTCTTCGGCACCGACCATTGTTTTCCACCCTAGTTTTCTTGATTAATGAGGCGGAATCAAAACAGACTTAAACACAGTTAACCCTCAACGGATTCAGTTGTGTTTATAAGTACAAACATATATGGTTGGCGGCATCCGGTTTCGGATTTGCATCTCACTGCGGCCAGCCGCAAGCAGTCTGGGCCTACAGAGAGACCATGGGTGGTTTGTGCTGCACCACCCACAGCGCCAACCACACACCTCATATCCAATGTAAATCCGAAGAAATAAGACAGGGGGCATGTGGATGCGAGCCACGTTTCATCAACGGATCTTGCCCACACTCCTTCACAGGCAAACATTAACACGCTGTAATTGGGGAATCAAATGCACACAAGCAGTTAGCTAGACCATAGTCCGCTCTACACTAAGTGCATGGAACCACTCTTCGATCCTAGCACGACCAAAAGAACCGTGCACCCCGTCCCCTCCAACAACGACCAACTGTCTCCTGGAGTCAATATGGACGAGCTAGTGGGTAATAGACAGGTAGGCACCTTGTTAACATGAACATCCAGCGCAGCCATATCGGGGATGTCAAACTACAGCCAATCACTTGAAATGACATTATCAAAATATATCTGATAAAGTTGGACTAAACCTACCTACACTTAAACCAGATCCATCTAATTTGGATACCAGTTATTCCACTTTATTTGATTTATTCGGTGCTGTTCTTTTGCTGCATATTCTGTTTTTATTTTACTTGTTTGGTTTCCCTCAAATTCTATGTTGGTTGTTTGATATCCCCGGTGTGGCTGCGCTTGATGTGAATGTTGACAAGGTGCCTATCTGTCTAAGATGCACCACCGCCATTGCTGGCTCCAGGAGACAGTGAACCGTTGCTGGGGAGACGGGATGTACTTTCCTCTTAGCCGTGCTGAGCTTAAAGTGTGGTTCCATTCACTGTGTAGCGGACTACGTCCCAGCCACCTTCTTGTGTACATCTGGTACGCATGATGCCCCGCATGGATAGACAGGAATGCTGCTGCTGTGTATGTTGAAGGAGTGTGGGCCGGCTCTGTTGATGAAACGTGGCTCCCATCCACATGCTTGCCTGTCTTATTCCTTCAGGTTTACATTGCACATTGAGTATGTGAATGACGCTGTGGTTTGTGCAGCGCAAGACATCCATGGTCCATCTGTGGGCTCAGACGTCTTGTGGCTGTCCTATGGAGGCTGCAGTGACGGGCAAATCCGGAACCGGATGCCGCCAACAATAAATACTTTTTCCTAGTTCTCTCATGTATGCCCTCATTGTGCCGTCGGTGATCAGCGTATTATATAATTTTCATCTGTTCCAACTCAGGAGACTCCTTGATGTAACTTGAGTCGGTCGTCTGGTTGGTTGTGTTTTAGTACATGAAGATTGTCGCTTGCTCCCCTCAAATGATGTCTTAAATACGTTGGTATCCAGAGCTCGCATGTCGGAACTCAATTGCTTAATGACTGAGACACGGCTTCGCCACTGGTACGTGAGTAATGGAAATTCTCTAAAATCGGAGTATCACTCGAGGACTACTCATCAGAAGTTTGGATGGTTCCTGAGGTAGGAATATATTCCCGCCTAATACTTTGTCGATAGGCAGGCCGGAAGAAGTGTCATGTGGTAGATAGCTAGCGAAACACGCGTTAGTTGAACTGCATGCTAGTTTTAAACATGAACGGATTTGTTATCCAATAAAATACAATGGGTTTCCCCGCTTGTGCCCCTCAGGTCCTCAAGAAACTCTATGTGGCTCTTTCCTCGCGTGGATAAACGGCGCTCGAGCAGTTTGTTCACTGATGGTCTTGTTGATGCAGATCCAGCTGGCTTCGGTGCTGGAGGTTTGCGCACGGGACAGCGCATCACAAGTTGGCACATGTTCCTTCCCCGATCATCTGTGGTCAGTAGAGGATTTCGACTGAGCAATGGTCTCGGCTCATGGCCCACATTTGATAGGGGTAAGCTTTTCTTGAACAGAGAACTCAATTCTCCAGGGGTATGCCACTTAAGCATCCTCCTCGACTAGTCATCCACACCCCATTTCCAGATATTGTTTTAACTTGACTGCCTTCCTTGGAACAAAAACGACGCGATTGGGAGCGTCAGGTGACTGACAGCTGCATGCACGTATATACAGCTTCAAGCGGTCAGCCATTTTCGCAGGAAGACGCCACCAGCACCTTCCCATCAAATGCAGATGTTTCGATGCATCAGACGTAGTCCTGTGCTCATGAGACCACAGTCTTTTCTTGAGCGCTCGCTGCTGTTATCGAGGCTCCCACCACAAACAACGCAGTGACAGCTAATGGATGTTGGACTTGCTAATTACCAACTTTGTATTTAATTGAGTGACTCACTCAACAAATCCTCCATTCATAAGGGTGGGTTTAAGCTATTCTAAAAGAATAAAAGAATTAGTTCCTTGACCAGCGTGCAGTTACCAGTTAAAGCGCATGCTTTTTGTAAGATACCCGGTTAGTTATGACTCAGCCAACAAATAAAGGCAGGTAAGTAGAGGACCTGATGTTGTAAACTTTTTGATTTCTGCGTACTGATTTGTCTAAACAAACCATCGGTGTCATATCAGCCAGTCTTATCAGCCCGACGTGTAAACTACGTTGCCCGTGCATGTTCCTCAGCCAATACAGCCCAGAAAAGCAACAGTCAAAGTGAACACGAAACTGTTAAACCTAACACTTTAGATACAGTTGCACAAACAAACATAACGGCACCATTTGTCCTCTAAATGAAAGCGACCCCCACGAGTTCGCTGTTACCCCTTTTAATAAATTGTAGGCTTTGGTACGATCCTACCACATATAACACTTTATAACAAACGGTTTCAGTACAATATAATAGTCCTCGGAATGATGCGCGAGGATACAGGCAAGCGCAGGCCGATGTAATATGTCTCACTGGTAATACACAAGCATATGTTGTGACGAGATTTCCCGTACCCATTACGTGCAGCAGCTGCGTCAACATCTCCGTGTCGAACAAATCACAGTAGCGATCGCAAACCAAAGATCACAGATGCTAGTTTTCGGGCACCCTAAACCCTACGGCGGGAGATGGTTTTTTCGGAATCTGATCGCATTCGCACTAGTTATGGAATAATACATGCATGTTCTCACAGCCGTTAAGCAAAGCAATGCATACTGTCTTAGATAACAACTCGGCAGCGGGATCGGAGATTTTATTGACCGCAAGTGGAAGAAATGCAAATAAATGGGCATATGCACACTTGACGTTTAGCTACAAAACCGTGCAATTGCAAGTGGATACATGAACTGTCGGCAAGTTAGCATCTACCGGACACCTTCCCTGGATGTAAGTCTACGCCGAGCAAACTGGCTTCATAGGTGGAACGGTTCGAGACATTTCTAACAGGAAACAGAAGATGGAAGTGGGGGATCCCAACGGGAGACATCGCTGCCTGGATTCCGTGGGTGTGTCCAAAGTCACTATCCTTTTTGAAACTGATTCGCAATGTAATGCATCCAAATCGTACTCTTCTCATTCAAGAATTTAAGGCGAATACCGATTATATTCGCCAGTAGGTCGTTGGCTTTTGGGTGGTATAGGTGCAAAACGGTAGCAGGTCTCACGTTAACGAGTATATTGAACCACTGCTTTTGGGCAGGTGCTGCCGAGTTTTGCTAAAGTTGGCTACTTCACGAAGATAGCCTCCTCGACGCACCTTAGGTACGCAGTACCAAACGACCATTCGGCTCTTCTGACAGACCTATAGCACATTTTAGAAAAAATCATTACAATGGTTGGCTACTCTTATGGCTCTGCGTACGCAGTAAACAACAGAATAACTTAACGAGTGGCCACAGTAGGACATGACAATAACATCCGCCGTTTTGTGAAATAATGCGTATTGAGGAACGTAATGTCATAGGGCGAGAGCTCTGGGCCACTGAAAGAAGAACTTTCACGAACATTTTTATCGTTAGAGAGGGGCAGTGCGAATCCACTGGAAGTCAAAACCATGTTGGACTGCATCCCGTATGGATACTGAGGCGGTCAATCTTTGATAGACGCAGTGAGCCACTTGATACTTTAGCAAATGAGTCTGTCGAACACCAGCAGACCTAATGAAACCTGACTAGCGGCTTTTAGGGGAGAATCGGATAAGAAGTGGCAGGCTCCATTGATGCTCATCACACTTGCGCTGCTGCACCAGCACTCATGTACATTGAGTCAGAGCGACCGCTTACCTGCACTGTGATAAAGTGAATGGAGTCTGCAAGGTCTTCTGCTGATGAAAAGCTCTAGGAATTCCACCGTCGTGCGTTTACATGTACCTAGCACCGCTATTCATAACGTGAAACAATCTTTGAAATCATCGGTACAGCAGAACACCTTGAATATCACGTGTTAGGAGAAAAATTGGCATGTACACAGATCAGGGCCCGCTTGTGTTTATTGCCATTAAGCTATCTAAAGGCCTACGATGATGTATTTAGCATATACCCATTCCCCGTAAAATTGTAAGGTTGGTGTTGTACGCACATCGGGTTCGTACGTGTTCATTGGCGATCCACTATTCTTGCACAGTTGCTAGAAACAATGTATCCCCATATAAATTTTGGAAGCACAACTCTGAAATAACGTGGGACCGTTTGAGAAAACTAAAACCATTCACTAATGCAAAATTCGTGTGCAGCGTTCAATGATGTGTAACATTGAATAAGCGGCCAAACTAAGCAATTGAATTCCGATAGAACTTGAACCGTACCTTAACATCCGCAATAAACTATCCATTTCTGGTTCAGGAAACATAAGGTTTTACTTGTGGTGGCTATATCAGGACATGTCAGTCTAGTCCAGTAGAATATTGTGGTCCATTTCTGCAGAGAAGCTTGGATGACCAAATAACCTCATGACTGTATCCAATATCTAGTCTGTCGATAGCAGAAAGTTAATCACTCCATACACTTAGGTTCTTGCACAACGTTAAGTCTCGAACTGAACACAATGTAGTGGTAAGTTTGTTCCGAGACAGCTGCAACCTACAAACTTAATAAACGGCCTCATTACATAGGAATGCGTCATGCATTGCTAGTTGCGCTTGGTCGGTCATCAACTGTTTGCTATTTTTTTATTCCACACCTTCTGGTCTCCAAACTAATTGCCTTTTTCAAATTGGAATCCACGGTCGGAGCGGACTTGTTGTCTAGTCGGTGTTGGACAGTACGCTCTGGTAAATACCACGTTCATGGAATTTCCCTCTCAGAGCGAGAAAAACGTGTGTTTCGATGTTGAGGTAACCTGCTCTCGGGTCTCACGAGTGCGCCAGCATGTGCGCGGTTTGTCAGTGAAACCCATAGCGGCAAAATGTTCGTGACAGAATATCGTTACAGATAAAGCTACAATGTTACTTACGCAGCTTAATCTGAACTTGTTTTCCTGTGGTGGTGTCGTTCTAGTAGCAGGCTTGCTTCGTCTTTCGAGTTGTATTCGTCAGACGCGCATCCTAAGTAACACAAAATCCAGCTCAGGCGCGAGGTTTTAGTATACTTATGCCTGATATATATGCAAGAAGCCAAAGCATGCCGGTTACCTCGTTCGATTTGTTGTATCTAAAGTAAGGATTGCTCCTTCTCTGGGGTTAGATAGAAAAATGCTGGCCTACGAAACAACTACCCGCGGTACCACTGTATCTGCTGTTGTCGAACTTATCGAACGTTCACAAGGCTTTATGATTTTGCCGGCTATTTGGAGCCCACGTCCTGGAAACTAGCCGGGTAGGACTTGGATATTGGCCGAAATGAAAAACTGTGTTACATTTTCGGGGCCTTTTATATTGTGTTTAGCCTATGACACTGAATTCTCCCTCTTTTCTCCATAATTTGATAATTAGTATTACGTTATCAATATTATAAATCGCTTTTTGGCTGAATATGCTTGGTAAATACGTGGATCTCGGGGACCCGAGCGGGACTGTTTGTATTCCGTCTTACTATGTGTTCAAAAACAGGGCAACATGTAAATACTTTTGTGCTCTTTTAAGGTTTTCTTCTGAAGTCGGTTGGACATTAGTTCAATTTTCGTTAACAAGCGCTGCTAGGCTCACACAATTGAGAGAGTTTGGAGACGGATATCTGACTTGCCTCAGGTATTGGTCATCTTGACCTAAACATTGTGCTCCTTTTAAATGTAAGCACTTGGATCAAAATATTTGCTCTTGTCTTCCGTGGACGTCGACCGCTTTCATCCGGTTATTGATAACTTTATCTACTGTCCCTGGATTTTACGTTTCTGCTGCAGATCATTACATGAGCGCTGTTCCCGTAGCAGGATAGCAACAAACACCGACCCGGGTTGTTCGTGTAATAGTGCAGATATGCTCGCACAGATGGCTCCGAAGCAGTGACTGGCAGAAAGGGGATGAAAAACCACCGTAACTGGATTAATCCTTTCTGCTCAACCATGGTTTCCTTGAAGGTACCTCCCGTAAAGCAGGACGCTATGAAGCTACTACCTGTTGGTTTGGATGACTCAATTATTCAAACTCATTAATTGCCGATGACCCCCGCTGGTGTTCGCTAGTCGGCTGCAAACACTAATCACTAGTTAACGATGATTAATAGCTGCAGCAAGCTGTCTTCTCATCGGCCGCTTTAGTTTCACCGCCGTAAACCTAGTCTGATCAGGGAAATTCTGATGACCTCATTTCTGCGTCTACTATTTCAGAACAAATGCATTGTGACTCAGCAAGTGCCACAGTGTGACGTGTACGTTTACCCGCATGAATAAGCTTTCCATTACACAGCAGCAGTTAATTCAGCGAGAAAGAAGTTTATGGGTAACTTCACGGTGAAAGACCAGCTGTCAATAGCGATACGGGAAGTTCCGTGTCGTTGTATACTTGGGTGAAATTTGGAGCAACACCTTGCGTTCCACGATGAATCACCTAGCAATATGCATCCTGACGAGAAACAGACGG